ATAACCGAAAATAAAGTGACACCAAGGATTATGAAGGGCTTTATAGTAGGGTAGCTGACTCATTTGCAAAAAACGGCATTTTTAGTATTTCAAGAACCTTCCCAAAAGCATTATTGTCCAGTTAATTGTTAATAACCTGTTGACTACATTTGCACCTATACTAGAGTAAACATGTGATTAAGCAATTAATGATAGCCAATGATCATCAACAACTTCCATAGGGTCATATTCATTATAACTGTCCAAGTGTTCCATAATCATTACTACGATGAAGTAACTCAAGTCAAGTGCTCACTATCCAGGAGCGATGGCGATTCGAATCGATTCCTAACCAGCTGGTGATTTATTCCTTACACAAACCTCACTCACCCGCTAAAGTGAGGTATCGGTCACCGAGTGAACTATCCAGGAAGCTCGAGTTTGCCAGGAACCACATGTACCCGGGGGCCGACCGACTGCACTTTGTTCTTATCATCTCGCCCCCGTGTCCTACCACATCTGCTCCGGTACAGTACGCTGCAGGCAATCTACTCGGCCTGAATAATCTCTCAGCTTCACGGTCGAAAGGTACTTTATTCGGCCAGCTAAATGTAAAGGTACTTTATTTGGCCAGCTAAATGTAAGGCATGCGTTCAACATGACTCGAGGCCCAACAACGGTCGGTCCTTAATCGACACAGACGGAAAGCACTACAGTCCAAAACTCTGTAAGTCTCCGTCCGGTCTCAACTTCATTTAACACTTAGTTATACCATGACTACATAGTTATCCAAACAGATCCAGGTAACCACTTATAGCTCGTAGGTGACAGGAAATCACCCGACTTCTACCGGTCTAAGCCAGCTAAGCATTGACTCGACTGCGGATACCAAGGTAACAAGGATATAGTATAACAAAGGTAGACAAGGTATAATGCAGCAACGGTTGCAAACAACTCCTGAACGTAATGCATCAATTAAAGTAAAGCATTTAATTAATAATTGCAAACCGGGGAGAAAATGCTCCGGGGCTTGCCTCTCTCGAAGGAGCTTGGGCGATGATCGGGGCACTCCAGAAGTTCCTCAACGTCCTTCTCGTCTGCTTCGGTCACTTCCTGCGACTGCACCTCGAGCTGTTCCTCGGGCTCCTCGGGTATGACGACTGGGTTCTCGGTTTGCGATCCTGTATGATGCATGTGCGTAAGTGCTTATGCAAAAGGTGCATCGGATGAAATGAGCACAATGGATATGCTTGAATGCAAGGTAGTCAACATCATCCAAGAACATGTACTACAAGCACATGTCATCTACTGCATTCTCTTCTACTACTAATATATTAAGTCAACACATCTCATTAAATGCTTCAAAGATACACCAAAGCTTCACTAATTCCTTAATTATGCATAAAGCATCATTTGATTAAACCCTAATTAATAATAGGTTTGAATAGCAACATCTATTTTTATAGTTTAGAAAAATCTTAGAAAAATACCATAGCACAGTACTACCCTAAGTAGTCTACCATCAGATATTTATGACATTTGGATAAGTGGAATAGCCTACACAAAAATGACAAGCTATGGCATAATTATGAACATGAAAATACTTTGTACTATGAAAAGTGTCAAACAACAGATGTAACATTTTTCCTATGTTCTACACAGCAAATAATCACTGTACAAAAATTATCACATGCATGTTTTATACAAATTTTGCTCTCTAGTAAAAATAACAAAAATCAACCACTAAAGACACTTGAACTACACCTCACAATTTTTCTACAGGACATGCATGACATATATTTTTCCTAGGAAGTACATTACACAAGAAGAATTGCACACTTGGAAGCATATTTTTCTGAAATATATAGGTTTTACTACACATTTTACAAGATATCAGCAATATAAAGGATTAAATAAAGCTCTACAGAAAAGTATCTCAAAAATGACATGTAATATTTTTATCATGTAGATCTGGTGATAAGGAACCTAGCAAAATTTGTTTCAACAAATTTGGAGCCAAAATGAGTACACAAACATTTTCTGAAGTATTTTTCTTCCCAAATAATAAAAGAAAACTGAAAACGTAATTTTCCTATTACTACTGGGCCGCCCCGTGGAAACAACTGGCCCACGGCCACTTTCGGCCTACGCAGTACGAGCGAAGGGGAAGGGCGGCGGCCTGGCTCGGGGCTTCGGCCCACGGCCATCTTGGCCCATCTCGGCCGAGGCGAAGGAGTCGCGCCCCGCCGGCGTTCCGGACGACACGGTGGCGCGGCATGCTCGCGTGCGGGCACTTCCCGGCCACAGCAAGGCACGAGGGGGCGCGCACAAGATTCGCAAGGGCAAGGCGGGCACGGTGCGCGCGGAAGGAGGAAGATAGGAAGGTAGAGCCGGGTAGTCCGAGCGGGCACGAGCTCCTACGAGCTCGGCCACGGCGGTGCGGAGACGAAAACCGGCCACAACAGCCTCTCACCTCGACGACGGCAGCCGCACGTGAGCGCAAATGATGGAGCTTGACGAGGCGGAGCTGTGGATTATAAGGAGGCGGTGGCGGTGCGGTGGAGCTTACGTGAGGCGACGGCGGATGTGGTGCGGTGCTCAGCGGCGCTGTGCTCTTCCGCGGCGAGAGGAGGGGCGAGCACGGGAGAGCGAGAGAGCGGGCGGGAGTGAGTGGAGAGGAGCGCAGCGCGGTCGGTAGGTGTAGGCGCGACAGAAGGTCGCGGGGCGGCCGCGCGGCATGTGTCGCCGGCGCATGGCGGCCACGCGGCGAGCGCGCCCTGACGCGGTCGGGCGCGGCGAGCGGACGGCAGCGCGGAGGCAGGTCGGGCCGGCCTATGCGGCTGGGCCAAAAAGGAGGCGGCGGCCCAGTAAGGTGAAAAACCATTTTTCAATTTCTATTTTCAAGGAATTTTCAATTATCAGTTTTCAAATACCCTTTTGAGCAAGAAAATGGCTTCTTTTGAAAATGGTCCAAAAATAAAAGTTGCTTAGAATTTAATCCTCTACAACTTTGTTTTAGGGATCAACTAAAAATTTTGCATAGATTTTGAATTGGGAAGTAAAAAGCTAAATAGAGGGGATTTTTAACCTTTTCCAATAATAATTTCAAAAGCATATTTTGTCAAAAGTTTGAATACAAACTTTGCTAAAAAATTATGCTAAATAATTCTAGATGATTTACAATTATAGCCAAACATGTTTTACTAACCTAGCAAGCATAATTAGGGCAAAATAACTCTAACTAGTGTATGCAACATTCATGTTTCACGAGCATGTTTCATATGTTACGAAGCACTGTTTCAGTTATTATTTACATGATTAGGCATGTATGATTAGGATGCTTGATGATGCGCAATATGCATGATTTGCAGTGCCTAAATGCTGGCATAACACCGAGGTGTTACATCATGTGAGGTGTTCGGATACTAATAAAAAACAAATTACAGAATTCGACAGTAAACCGCGAGACGAATTTATTAAGCCTAATTAATTCACCATCAGCACATGTGTTACTGTAGTACTTTAATGTCAAATCATGGACTAATTATGCTTAAAAGATTCGTCTCGCAAATTAGTCGCACTTTGTATAAATAGTTATTTTTTTAGTCTATATTTAATACTTCATGAATGTGTCAAACATTCGACATGACAGGATGTAAAACTTTAGGGTGAAAACTAAACGAGGGCCTAGTGTGTGTTGGCAGCAGCAGTCAAGCCGAGAATCCCACGACAACACATGTGTGCGTGTACGTGCAACCCATATAAACAGCGCGCAAATGCTACGCGTACCAAACAAGATTCCTCCGGAAACAAAAACACACTGTAAGACATGGCCTTGTATGTACCCAGCGTTCCCACCTGGAGAAATATATCTTCTCCCTTGCAGCCTTGCTCTTAAATCTTAGTGATACGAGCAGAAAAAAGATCACAAGTGTTCGAATTAGTGTGAACTAATCTGACTATCTCGTACCATAGATCTCTTGAGCCTAAGAGTCAAACGAAAATAATCGATTTTGACTTTCAGGTTAGGATAATGATGATGATGACGACAATGACGACAATTAAGTCTGATATATAGCAGGCTCATGCTCACCTTATAGTGTCAACTATGCTAGAGGCATATGTGCTATTACAGGCGTCGTGTATCATTGAAATTTGTCGTCCTAGTAATAAACGGTTGCTGTCACGGCCAGACAAAGCCTATAAAATTAATTTCATCCCTTCTGTGCATTGTTGTTAGCTCGCTATCTCAAGAGTCAACAAAACATGACAGTTTTACGAGTGGAGATGATAAACGGATCGATGGCCCATTGCTCCGCTTTCGAGCACCAAGTAAGCATGAGACACGTGTTGTCACATAGCAGTATATATCGATGATTGGAGTTGCTTACGTTAGGGTGCGACGTTTGCTGTCACGGCGAGACAAAAAGCCGGTGTGTTTTTTCTTAACCGCGCACGTCGTTGGTCCGCTGTCGCTTGCTGGGTGACTCCGTGAACCCATATGGGCACCAAAACCTAAAATAGGTAGCAAGAGACCCAAAATCAGTCTCCAACAGAGTACCTATACGTGAGACCTATTTTGGGTTGCCTGAGAGGCACAACCCAAATATGGGCATTCTCTCTCCTAAAAGTCCATTTGCAGAAAGGATTCTCTTTTGGATCTTGTTGTTGGAGAAGATATCGAATATGTATTAAACCTTTTGCCTGTAGCGCTACTCAAAAGATAAATAGATTTTATATTTTGGTGGTTGTTGTTGTTATTGTTGTTGAGGATAGCATCAGGCAGGGCCTTTCCCTCCGAATATAGGTGCCCCCAAAACAAACCCTTGTTTCTGCCCTTGTCTCTTATATATAGACCCCACACCACCCTCCCTCTTCCTCCTCCCCCATTATCTCTCTCTAGCTCATTCTACCATTTCTCTCTCTTCTAGTAGTCTAGAAAAAAGAAAGAAGAAGAAAAGAAAGGAAGCAGCTAGGCAGAGGCAGCTGCACGCACGGCCGCACACGTCGCCCGGCCGGCCATGGGGTTCCCGTCGGTGTGCTACTGCGTGATCCTGCCGCAGCCGCTGATCCTGGTGCTGCAGCTGCTGGACTTCCTCCGGCACGCCGTGCTGCTCTGCCTGTCCTCGCTGGGCCTCGCGGCGCCGCCGGCCGCCGACGACCACCCAGCCTACGCGGCCCCACAGCCGGCGGATCTCTGGGCGCTGCAGCCGTCGTCGTCGTCGTCCCTGCTGCTGCAGGCGGCGCCGCCCACGCCGGCCGCCATCAAGGCCCGCCTCCCCGCCGTCCGGTACGCCGACCTCGTCAGGTCCCGCCGCACCGCGTCCCCGGCCGTCTGCGCGGTGTGCCTGGGCGCGCTCGAGGCGCGGCACCGCGTCCGCGAGCTCGGCAACTGCGCGCACGCCTTCCACAAGGCCTGCATCGACAAGTGGGTCGACAAGGGCCAGGCCACCTGCCCGCTCTGCCGCGCCCTCCTCCTCCCTGACCCCAGCAGCGCCGGCGACGGCGAGCTCGCCTCCTCCCCCTTCTCCTTCTGAACCCGCGCCCGCTCAAACCAACCAAGCAAGTGAAGGCACACGGCCGGGCCGGCGGCCGATTGGGAGGCAGAGCAAGGTCAGTAACTAGCTACCTACCTACAGTACCTGCTAGCTGATGAGATGAGCCCCGTCGTACGGCCGGCCCGGTCCAGTGGTCCATCCATCCAAGCTATTAATTTGTTTCTTGGAAGCAATGAAACGGAGGAGGAGGAGAGAGAGAGGAGGGAGGAGGTGTCAGTGAGCGTGAGGTGGTGCAGTATAATTGGTTGGTGAGGCACTAATTATGAGGAGGACAGGGATGGCTACCTGCATTGGATCTGGTGAATGAACGTCCACCCATCCACTCCACTCCACCCTTTTCTCCTGCAACTCCAATTCGCTCTCTCGGTCTCTCTCTGTCACTCCCTTTTGTTTATTATTATTAGTTTATTTTTCCTTTTTCTTTTTCTTTTTTCCCCATGGTTCCTCTTATATTATTATTAACTTAATTTGTGAGGGGAACCAAAGAGAGATGTACATTGTACATAGCAGCTAGCAGCTTGCCTCCACTTGACAATATTATTGGAATGGAACAAATAATTTGTCTCTCACATGCATGATTATCCAATCGCCAACAACAAAAGTAATCTCTGTGTGTGTACATATGTGCTTGAGTTGTGCTCCCCTGTTGTGTGATGTCATTAGCATAATGCAATTTGGCTTCTTGTGTGTGTGGCATGATGTATGCTTGGGTGTATCTCTAATTGGGGTTCCCAACGGATATGCCCTCTCATGTTCGGTGATTAGGGGCCTCTCTTGTCTCTCAAGAGCTGTGTTACGGTGTAGTAGGGGGGACAATCAGGATATGAGCCTTGCTTAACGAAAGGTGCAAGTGCCTAGGTAGTCACCTCGCCACTAGCCTCCTAGCCTGGGGGTATACGTAGGCATGATGTTACCATAGTACTTGTTACTTGTTAGTAATAATTCACTAATTCTATAGGATATATAGTAGTATAAGCAAGGTAGGAGTAGGAGTAGTTAATAATGGAGTTCCCTATACTGTGCTTGGATCCTAGCTTAGGCCTTGTTTAGATGCCATCCAAATTCTAAGTTTTTTCACTCTCTCTCCATCACATCAATTTTTAACCGCTTGCATGGAGTATTAAATGTAGGTAAAAAAAATAATTAATTACACAGTTTAGTTGAAAATCACGAGATGAATCTTTTGAGCCTAGTTGGTCCACGATTGGACAATATTTGCCAAATAAGACGAAAGTGGTACTATTCATTGGGTTTAAAAAATTTGCAAAGTGAACAAGGCCTTAGTAGCAGTAATAATAAAATAGTACGGAGTATATATAGAAACAGATGTAAAAGGGTTCAGTTCAGTATTGGAAAAACTATTCCCTATGTTGCAAAATGTGGGCCATTTAAATTTTGTTCCTAGTCAAACTTCTCATAGAAAAACATCAAACTAGTTTCACCAAATTCCCATAGAAAAAAAAACTCGATCCGCGGGGTAAGACAGCGCCGGCCATTGGTTTTAAGAAGAAGACCTTCTCACGCTGACCGAGAAACCCCTATTTAGCGGCGCCGGCACCGTAGCTCTTGTGGGATGAGGAGATTTTTTCCCGCCTCAAACCAACAAATTCGCCCCCATGGGGGATCAACTCCGGCCGCAAGGGTGCAACGTGGTAGCAGCTAGCCAACTGGTCTAGCGCCAGCTTGAATTTGGTACCATAGATATTAATATATTTCTACAATACTTAGTTATAACTAGAGAAGTTTAACTTAAATAAAAACTAAAGACTCATTACATTTTAGGGCGGAGTAGAATATTTTCAAATGTCACGATTGAAGGTGGAGGTTGTCTTGTAAACTTTGCTCACTATAAACTCCCCCACCCGGCCATCCCCCGCCACCCGAAAAAAAAACACTTTTTTCTAGTTCCGGGGTTATTGTTTGGAAATTTGCATGTTTGCTTGCTCAGCGTGCAATAATACAGGCTTTATTTGAGGTTGGTAGTTCAAATAAAGCGACTCTTGTCTCGCTTGGCAATTGGCATGCATATGAAAACTCACAAAAGGAGAATGGCTCGCTCGCTTAATAAATGGAATGGATTGGGTCATGAATTCATGATACATGCCCTGTTTGCTTGGCCGATAAGCCATAGCTGAAAGTATTGTTGGCTGATTTATTATGAGAGAAAAATACTATTCGTTGACTGAAAAAGTACGACTTATAAGCCAAGCGAACATGGCGATGGCAGTGGGGCATCGTCAAGTTGACCTTGGGAAACCATATATCTCTGCAAATGATCCCTTTTGCATAGCACCGTGCCATTGATATGTGACGTGGTGGTACTGTAACTGGCACGTGCGATCTTGCATGTTAGGACTTTACGACGCGTCCACCGTGCAATACTGCAATGCAGGAGTTCAAATTTTCTTTTCTTTTTTGATTCAAAGAGTGGCAATTACGAATTGTGTCTCTACCAGGGGTCGGGTTTTCTAAGAAAACAGAAAGGGTAATTAATGAAAATGTAAAAGATCCACTTGAGGCGGGACGATCGATTGTACAGTCATCAATGTGTTGGGCCCCGGCCCACCCGGGCCCATTCCACGGACGGCGGGCAATTAACATCTGCATTCTGCAGTCCGGCCGTAGCGCCGCGCGCGCTGCCGTCTCATCAGAACTAGACCGGAGACGCGACGAGACCAGCTTCTCTTCTCCCTCCGTCCACAATCCACAGTGCTCGGTAGTAGTGCTACTAGTGCGGGCTGCTGGCTCGTCGAGATGATGAAGATGAACTGGACCCTGCCTGTTCTGTTCTTTTGCTTGCGTTGCGTGGTTTTTTGCTGCCTGCCTGCTTTTTGCTCGTCATGGTTGTAAAGTCAGGCGAGACGAGATGAAACGCTGAGGCGAAAGGCGATGGGAGCCTTTGCATGCAGTGACGCAGGAATACTGGTGTTTTATTTTTGAATTCGAACCTGTGACAAGTGCCTGCCCAACCTTACTCCATCGGTGAAATCCCCCTGAAATTACTGGGTTGAAATCCGACGGTGTTAGAGTGGATTCAGTATTCATACTGACGATGATAAAATCGCAGTCAAACAATAGAGTGGTCAGACTCCAGTAGTCCAAAGGCAGTGAAGACCTGCACTGCACAGTGGGACAGAGCCTTGTGTTCGCTCCCTTTTGGTAGCACAATGCATGTGCGTGTTCTCGGGCTGGACTGGCCTGGCCTAGTGGCCTGCCTCTGCCTGCAAGCGGAAAACGAAGCAGGGTGACAGGCCCATCTAGACTTTTGGACCTCTCTTTTCCGGCAGCAATTCAATACTGGAGTACGTACCTCCTCACGTCCTCATACCATCAGTGCATGTTCAGAACTGGATGATGCGCAGCGACCACTTGCTAGAGCTTTTGTTGAAACCAGCGAATGCAACCAAGCAGCAGCAGCAGGGGTTTGCTCTTCATCTTGAACTGCCGCCGCTGCCCCACTAGCTAGCTACCACAGTACCACACACACAATGGGCTCGGGCTCGGGCTCAGGCTCAGGCACTCCGTAGCTTGTGGAAGGATATGCGAGATACTGAAATCAAGTTGAGCGGAGGGACGACGAAAAATTCCAAAAAAAAAAATGATCTGTTATTATGTTGAGAAACGTCTTGAAAAAAGAGGAAATTTTCATGATAAATACTATTATTGTTTACAACTTGTACAACCATTTGTTATTGCAGATCTAGCCTCCGTCTATTTAAAACAAGCTCACAAAACTTATTTCGAAGAAGTGAGTCTGTCAAAACTTATTTCTAAGCCTATTAGACGGCAAACATCCATTCGTAGTGAAGCTCTCCGCCGCCGCGGTCTCCAACTCCAACATACAACATGAATATTTCAAACTTGGTCTGTCACATTCCCTTTGGAGGATGATCTAGAAGGGAGTCTGGCCTTAACCTTAAGAATAACTAGGTAGTATATCCGTGCGTTGCTACGAGACAACTAAATTTTTGTACTAAAAATATATGGATCGCACGATAAGATAATAATACTATAAAATTAAATACCAACGTTCAAGGTACAGTTAATCCAAAAAGCAAAGTTTGTGAAATTAACAGTCACGGAGAGCGCGGCGTCACAGGCTTACAAACTCTACTTTATAGACATTTCCGTGATGCGTCTAAGATAATATTTTATATTGGCAGGAAAAAATCTCTGATATCCATTTCTTTCGTGCACCAATAAATCCACGAATAAGTTCCGTCGCATCTCCATACCATCATGTACACATGCTCGAGTATATATGTCAATATTAGTGCCTGTCGCATGGGTAATATTGCGTCTCTTGAAAAATCTTTCACAAAAACTTAAAACAAAGTGTTATACTCACCATATAAATATATGTGGCTTTTAGTCTATTTGTGAACAAAGAAATAAAAAGCAGGAGCAAGCGACTTGCATATCTGCATTGTGCTAAGCTGTATTCCATATCCTCATATACACCAATCGTAGCAGCCATTTCTTTTTTAGTGTATTTTTTACGGGTATTATGATATTTTTGTTAAAGCACACATTTTCTGAAAGAGAAGGATATCGAGAGTCAGGATTAGTATAACTTGACCTACTTTATACAATTAGGAGAACAACAAATAAGACAATATAATATATCATGATAAGAATTTTAAAAATATGCTTACACAAAATCTCAGGTCCATGTGATGCTTCTTAGTACTATTGTATTTTTTCATTGTATTGTATTCTCGAGCTGTCTGAAAACGGACACCTAAGTTGGAATAGTTCTCAAAGATGTGTCGATTGTTCATTATTAACTTTTGTAGGTCCTTGACACTTAGGGCAATCATGGTGGGATGAAAACCTTTAACCTAAGGCTTTCTGTAAAGCATTAGACACATATGATGGTTTTCGTTATATAAGATATCACACTATTATTAGTAAATAAAGTAATTAAAATAAGCATGTAGCTTACTTCAACGTCGCTTCATTCTGAATTGCCATGATATAATCACATGGTAATTCAGTCATCTCTTCCTTGTTCATTGGCATATCTTTCATGCCCTCAAATGCCCAATACTCATTAGGGTCTTGGTTGGCATGGACTTGTGGGGATTTATTTAGAGTTTATATGTGTTGAGGGGTGCCCGTTTGAACCACTAAGCATTCGGTCTCTTCATAATGTTCTCTTTTTCGTGGACACTTGATCAGCCATCTTTGGATTCTCAATTATGGCACAGTCGCTTAGGCTTCCAATATTTTTATCCCTATCAAGATATGGAGCACCCTTTCGTTTGTTTAACTCTGATGATAGCAAGATCGCTGTAAGCTTCAATCTAAATTCTTTCATATCATCCTGCACGATAGTATGAATCTAATTAATTATTAATTAAAAACCCACAGTTAGTGCACACTCATAACTGGTGGTAAGATGCATAGTTCACGTGATTAAAATCGTCTGACAAATCATTCCCAGTCCAATACTCCATAAAGTTTATTAAGAATAAACCGCATAAAAAACTACATACAACATTAATAGAGGTTCAGGCTCACATTAGATAAAAAAGGCAAAGACACATAAAATTCAACTTATATGACATGCCATTATTTTTTACGTACCCATCTGTTTGTAATAATTTGCCAAGAAAATCTCCCTAACCGGTCAGGTATCAACCTCAACATCTAGCCATTTGTGCTCTTTCGGGCCTATCTCCTCCAATATGAAATCTATCTGTTTCCGCAATCCACCTCGTTATTTGTTCATAGAAGAACGAATCAATCAACATTTCTAAAATATAAAATGTGTACAAATAGCCGTGTAGGAAATACCCATAATTTTATTGAGGTCAACACGTCCGAACATCTCGCCCAAAGAGTCTAGCACCTGAACCTCACGTTTGACGGCGTTTATAACATCAAGGTATCAATGTGTATTTGTAACATTTATTGGAAGAAACATCTATCAAATCAAACAATAAACATTTTACCAGGCATAAAAATTGATAATGAAAGACCAATAGATCGTTTAAAAAATTGCTACCATATCATACTTCAAGTAAGCTAGCACCTTTTGAACTAAACCAGGACACTGTGAAGTGCCACGGTTAGGGTAATTGGCTTCAATAGTCTCATCCTTTTCTCTATCCCGCTTCATGATTGCAACTAAGCACGTAGTTTCAAGATAGATTGTACCTCCTGGCCTCTTTTTCAAACCCTCCTGGGCCTTCAGCAGTTTAATATAAGCATCTATGACCTACATATATTTTTCCATTAGAGAGAAAGAGCATTGAAGTTGGCAATGTTTTGATTGAGTATTATGACTTGCATCTGTTACCTCGTCAGACAAGTATTCATATGGCTGAAAATGGCATTCCATGTGGTTTCTCAACACCAGAACATCATCTATGAGCACAAGCTCCTCATTCCCAAGTGAAGATGGAATTTTTTAACAGATTCAATTATGGCTCTATCAGTATTGGTACAAACATAATCTGAAAAAGAGGATTAAATTAAAGTATACAACAATAGTTATTAGTTTTTCTAGGTTAATCCATCAAAGAGAAAATATCAATACCTTCTGGGGCAACCGGTGAAGACATAGATTTTTAGGTTTATTTTGTACTATTATGATTTTCGAAAGTCTTTTTTCTCCCGTCGGATCTACCCTAGAAGTTGATAGGGCCTTTTCATCATGGGCCGTGCTAAACCCCTGGTCAACTGGTAGAGCTTCGTGGGTAACTTCTGTACTCATGCTTTCTTGCAACCATCTAGAATCATCCATAGGCTCACTAGAATTTTCTGTTTGTACAATATCTTCTAAGGGGCCTCTATTTTCCTTCAAAACCTTTGCATCTGAACTATCCATCGAGACCTAAAAGACATACTTCATTATCAGTCTATCACATAAATCAGTGTATGACTAATCACACAGTAAAGAAAGTCTATCACATAAATCAGTATAAGATCTAACCACATAGTAAAGAATGTATTTGAAGTCACAACCCTGAGACCCTGGCCTTTTGTCGTTAATTCTGCATTCCAAAGAATAAAAAGAAAAGAACAATAATTAGTAGGATAACATACAGAGTAATAATTCAAAGGTTTCTATAACAACCATATTCTGCATGTGTCTATATAACAACCATATTTTGTTTATCCACGTGCGCGGAGGGTGCACATTCTACTTTTTTTTTATTTCTTTCTTGCGTCGTGGGAAACAAACAGATTTGAGAGAAGGCGAACAACGGGTGCCTCTGGTTTTTTTTCTTGGAGCGTGGGAAAGAAGGACGCACGACCAGGGCAGGGGTGGCTGGACGGGCCAGAAGGATCTGGTACTGTCCGCAATAAGTTCCACTTATAATTCCTGAGTTTGTATCCATAGTTAAAAACAATTAAGCTTTGTTCGAGAACCAGGAAATAGTGTATGTGCACCTTCTAGAGAAAAAACAGAAAACCAATCCATGAACACTTCGACGATGGATTACCAATGGAAACACACTCATACATGTAAGGATCCTGAGTGCTGATCAGTGCCTTCCCATGTGACATGTTACATCTGAAACTATTATTTTTTTCTCAATAATTTTCACTGGCTGCAAGTCAAAGATCCTAATAGAAGTTGGTTTTGTATATTCTAACAGAAGTTGCAAGTCAAAGATCCCCTGTACCTTGAACGTTGTGGGGTTGGTGCTGAGGTGTTGAACCTCGGCGACAAGAGCTGCTGGGAGACGTTCTTGGGCAGGTCGACGTCGATGAAGAGATGCTGATCGGTGAACAGATACATGAGCCCGTCGCGCCCAGGAAACTCATGCACGCAGGCGCCGCCAACAAATTTAGCCTACGGTGGTTTTACAAAGGAATGGATCACAAGATGTACCTGGTGCCGGGGACGCGATGCTTCATCGACGGCCTTCAGTTCGCGTGATCGAGGTCGTCGTCGTGCTTCAAGGGGACACGACGCGCTGCTGCCCCAGCGATGGCGGCTGGACGTCGGGCTTCGACTTGCCTGTGATCGAGGTCGCGGTGCTTAAGGGGACGTTAGGCGCAAGTCCTTCGGTCGACGGGCTAGGGCGGAGGCCGGTGCGAGCGAGGGCGAGCTCAGCTGGCGAGGTTGGGCGCTATGGCGATGCCACATGATTTATAGCAGAGGATTGATAGCAGTCTCTCTCTTTTATTTTGTCTTAATTCTCTTTCCTTCTGTGTTAATTCTCTTTTATTTTACTCGTTGCCATATATGCTGGTGCATGCAAACATGCAATGTATATATGGATAGCACAATAATTTTCTACTTCCTATTTTGCTGTGATTCTTCTATCACATGACAGACAATATTCAATCAAGGAGAATGGCACGATCAATCAGTAATTAAAATTAACCTATAATCAATGTGTAATCGGTTTAACCAGCCTATAGTACACTGTATATTTATTTATATAGTATATTGTCGGTGCTAATGCTACGGTGAGATTTAGGATAACACAAATTAAACAAGCAAAATCATGTATATGCTTTAGTGATTTTGAAAATTCATCAATCACATATTATAATATTAGAATACAAAAGAGGGTGAGAACATAGGCACACTACAAAAGCTAGTCATCTCATGGTCACACTTACAGACTTACTGTAAATAGGGTGAGAACATAGGCACCAACAGTGACACCCAAACATATTACAGACCCTAAACTGCAGGGAAGAAACCAAAGTAGTAATACAGAATTCAGCAATTGTCATGATATGCTACCTGAAAAAGTCAAGGACATCAGCAACTGATCTGCAAGGTCATCGACAAATGGCACAGGCACATCAGCTGAAGCAACAGTGAGGCAGCCTTTGGACAGAAGAACAATCCTTGGAAGCAAGACATGTCTACCACACAAGAAGAATTTCCCCAATGTATTAAGTTGCTGTATCTATGGCCAAGCTTGCTACCTTTACCAAAAAAATCTAGAGGCAACAAAGGCACATGATTTAAGGCTACATCCGGATAAGTTACAAGCGCGGGCTTGTCCTCGTCTCCATATACAGAAACCGATAGAGGGCCATGCCTCGTCTTTACTCGATGCTCCTGAGGAAACACAAGTCACATCACATGTTCAGGATCATCAGAATTCAGTCCTGTACAGAGAAATAACACAATTAGACATATTTTGAGTTTGACATATTACATCTAATTCCTCATCAGTTGACACCGGGACGAATCAAGAGCGTGTATTCTCAGAAAGGAAAAAGGGAAAGGAAAAGCAGTGAAGTACCAACTGTTACAATGGCGATGCCTGCGCTGGTGCTCCTGCTGGAATGGTGCTCCAGCCACCCCATGTCCATGCTCGAGTCCTGCAAGCGCGTACACCAGAGAATGGCAGGAAAAATAAACTTCAAAGTCACTTGAGATGAACTGAGAGATAAAAACAAGGCATTGCCATATATCACAGTATGAACATGATGATAGGCTAAAGCCTTCACCATGATGGTTAGAGATCATACCGTCACAAACTTGCTTCAGTTTTAACAGGCTAAAAAAATCAACCTTCCTAGGAAATCGTGTTACATAAAGTTTCACTTTACCTTGAGATTGGCTGCTTCAAGGTTAGCTCCTCTTAAGTTGGCTTGTGTAGGCTTTTAGCAGTCTGAAAATCCATTTGACATGGGCAATAAGATGCACAGGTAAAAATATGATTTCAATATTTATGGTTTACAGCCTACTAAAAGCCAGTTGATATGAATCTTTTATTTGCACCAATCTAGGTAAATAATATAGCATTATCCCTATGAAGGAAAACAAACAGGCATGTCTCTTGAGTGCGCTTCAGCAAACACTGGATTCTGCTGCCACATTTTGGATGCTGATATATAAACATAGTACCACTGCACTAACATAGTACCATTGAAAAAATATTCAACAATAGTACAGTTGTCAAGAACCAAGCAATGAAGGAACAGGATTAATGTGAGCATTGCTACCTTTCAAGTTGGCACTTCGAATAGATTTGCTCCAATAAACTCACACCTGTTATTCCGAAACAGTGAACATGAATGCCAAATGAGAGAGAGAGAGGAGCCACGCAGTTGCTGATAAGAATGGTTTCTTACTCACGCAAATTTGCGTTTTGGAAAGATGAAGACAAATCTTTCACCTGCTGATAAGAATATAGAGGTACATTATTATCAGTAAAATGTTTCTTTTTATACAAAAAAAAACTTAGCCAAGAACTAAACTAAGAAACTCTTTTTAAGAAATCTGAGACAAAATTGAAACATTTATACAGTCATATTGTAGACAAGTAAATTAGCATATTTTCTACAGCATGCTACAGCTAAGAAGATGGCAAACAACACGAAATTCATGGGTGTGGATGTAGCATAGGTCATGATTGTGGAGCAGGCATTTGCTGTGTGGCTGTAGATTTATTCTAACTGGTGTATTATAGGGGTGGTAGATGAACCTAAATAAGCATAGTACACCACGCAATACGGAAGAATTGCACAATTTATATAGTAGATAGCTACATTATGAAATTATCTTCAAAAAAATATTATATTATTTGGTCAGGCAAGCCCATCTAGCAGAATAAACAAGAATACAAAATGACTATCTACTGCATAAACAAATATATTCTTCGTGCAGATACACCAAAATCGGTACCATAAAAACAAATGACTATCAAAGTATGAACTGCAGGAACAAACATATTTTAGCAAGGCCAATAAAAATATTCTAATGTATCTAGTAGCAAAAGGACTTAAGTCTAAGTTCAGTAGCCCCAAGCTCAATCTAATTTTTTATAACTTCTTTATAACAACAGCAGTTCGTTTAACTTACACAGAGCTACTTGTGTGCAGATTCAAGTCCACCAGCAGCTGGTGTTCGCCACTACAAGTACGGGCCAAAGCAAAATTTACAAAGCATTATTGACCATTATTCTAATTTGGGAACTGCATCACCATCTGACCAATGATTAGTAGTGGAGCACTCAAAATACGTACTGCTACCAATTTCATTGGTTAAGGATCAGACACAATCATCAGTGCATTCCATAGGCAATGAAGGGGAGGCAACAAAAGGGTCGGAAAGACCGCATACCAGCACGAACGGGGTTAATGCTCATCTCGCCACCTTTCATCCTCGTGTCCACTCAGCAGTCGCCACCTCTCGCCATCCAGGAGCCAGATCCAGGCCGACTGCGCCGGATCCGCCATACGCGCTGCTTCTCACCATCCCTGGCCTGGCCGCGACCGTGACCAGGCAGCAGCGGCCGGTGGAGGGCCTGATGCCACCATGGTCGCGGGGAGCAGGGCCATCGTCGGTCGAGGGAAGCAGGGCAGCTTGATAATGTGCTCCACTGGAGGAGAGAACACCTGAAGAGCAGCTAAAGAAAAGATGGACACAATATCATCATTCATAAATATGCACTTTTCTTTGTTCACAAATAACCCAATAATTTTGTCTCTACAACAAAACAAGAACAGTGCATGCACTTTGCCATACTTCATTCATTCAAGCATATATCAAAACTGCATCTGAATCTGAAATAATTGAGGCTGCAATGGAAGCAAACATCCATGAAAGCTCTAAGAATCATGATCAATGTACAGGAAACATGGCCAGGTTGTGAGAGACAAACATCAACAACTAAAGACTCGAGGGATAAACTAATACATGAGCGTGTGACATACGTGCCGCTGAACATTGGATTGGACACAGTAATCACAGGGTCATCTTGACAAAACAAATAATTGTAGGTATGTTTTTCAATTCAGGGCTGCACCCTATTTTCAGAAAGAACTCTCAAGGCAATATGTAATTTCATCTAGAAGCGGATAACAGATAGCAACATCTGCTAATTCACAGGCAAAGTGTCACACAGCCCACCATCTTGCAGTACTAAAATTCCATCTGTTAGCGCGAGAGTACTAAAATTTCATATGATGTCATAAGATGCATCCTCTCTGAATATATCTGTCAAAAAACTTACATATTGGTTGGAGAGAATTTTCAGAACTCTAACCATTAGAGATCAAATTGTTCTCTTTATTAGACACTTCCCTAGTACCTAGCGAAGTGAATTAATGTTGAGTTCCAGCTTTTTCAATTCATCATTCATGCTCAAATTAGTGGCTGTCTATCTCACAGATCTAATGAATTTCTCCCCCATCCTAAGAACTGATTCAACTGAATGAGCACGTGCATGGATAAAAATGAGCAAACAGTTCAGGAATTTTAGTGTGGGAAGGGAGAAAGGAAGGACCTTGTACTGCTTCTAGGAGAGGAACTGGCGAACTGCGCTGGGGAGATGGGCTGCGCCCTTGCCGTGGTCGCGGGCTCGCCGGCGGCGTGCTGTGGTGGGGGATTACCCTCGGCTTCCGCTCCCATCCAATGCTCGCATCAGACCCAGAGAAGATCGAGGCGGCACATCCTACACTCGAATCAACGAATCAAGTCAAGAAGGGAAGGGAAAGAAGGAGACGATGCAAATGAGGGTATAAAGAAGGGGGTCTCGAGGAGGGGAACCTGGATCTGCCACTCGGGTGCCTAGGTGACGGGGTGGCGGCGGCGGTCGGTTGGAGGCGCTGGGTCATGGAGTAGCAGTGCTGGAGCGCCGGGAGCGTGCTCCGGAGCTCGGGGATCTCGTCGCAGCTGAAGCCGAAGCCCAGGTCAACGCATCCCTTGAGCTCCTCCAGGTCGTCGTCCGTGATGCTCCTAGATCTCCCCACCGCGTCGTCGTCTCCACCCGCGAGCATGACGGGTTTTGGGTCCCGCCGCCCTGGCCACGCCGCTTCCCACTGCGCCTCGCGCCACACGTCCTCCGCCTCGGGCTCGTCGACCGACTCGACGGCCATGGCCGCGGCGCTGCTTCAGGGTGGTGGGTGGCGGCGGTGGCCGGCCAGCGTAGGTGCCAGGACGCCAAGGTGGCGGCGGCGGGCGTCTGGCCCGTGCGCCGGGGTGGAGGCAGCAGATTTCTGGCGGCCAGGCGGCGGGGCCCTTGGGGACGTCGGGCGGGCGGTGATGGCGACGGGCGTCACGCAGACGGGTGGGCGGCGGCGGTGGAGGTGGCGTGTGGGTGGGGAGCGGGAGTGAGGGGGAGGCGGGGGTGAGGTTGGTTTTGGGGGGGACACGGCGGGGATCGCAAGGTTGAAGGAGTGTGGCGAGGGTTCGGGGACTCGCGGGATCACGAGCTTGGAGGAGGTCCCACCTGCCGGCGCCGCAGGATCGTATGCAGACGGACAAACCAAAACAAATATTACACCAAAAGATGTTCATGATTTATTCTTTTTAGTTGTAGGAGATTTACAAATAAGATTTGTTTTGGTCAAACAATATACCATTTATACTTAATCTAACATACCAAAATTTGCAAATGCTCTCACATGTTTGAGATCGAATTTTTAGTCTAATTGGTGAAGCTAAAACCTTTAAAAAACTCGGGCTGCGGGGTAGACACCCCAAGCTATTTTAGCTAAAAGTAGAGGATTTTTCACCCAGCCCAAGAAACCCCCAAACCTCATGCCCCGCCCGTATGTAGGGGCCCGTTAACTGGTGAGAGGGCCGTTCTATTTTACCTGTGCTTTGGGGACGTGGGACAGGTGAGGTTTTTTTTCCACACCACCAACTAGAAATTCATGGCCAAGAATTCGAACTCTGGTCACGGAGGACGCCACCGGGGCATGACCAACTGCCGTAGGCTGAAGCCAAAACCGTTAAAATAATTGTCATATTAGTTGGTGGCTGTTGAAGGGCTCTTCAAATAAAATTTGCAACATGTGACAATAACATCCTCAAATAAGAACCACACGAAGATATCTATTTGATGTGGTAATTTTTAACGAGACTCATTCAAAGTTAGTGCTATTTGGTTTACTAAATATTTATACATTGATGCACCTTGAAAAACCCTTGATTAATAAGGTACTATTGGATGAAATCTTTCATCTCAGAGAGAGACATGGAGGCGGAGAAGATCAAAATATGGCTGGTCAAGCCAAGTTTGAGGTTTAATACATATCAAGTCCGAGTTCACCTCAAACTCCATGAGCAAATAAAGGGGGGGTGGATGAGGGAGGGGTAAAAAGATGAAGTTGATTTGGACCATCAGTTCCGAATCGCAACAAAATTTGATTTACACAAAATCTAATCCTCTTAAGTTACCTAATATATGGAGATATGCGCTATACTTTTAGTATAACATTTTTTTCTTCAATTCCTTATTAATGATGAAAAGGCAAAAATAAATTAAAATGCCTATATGAGAAGTGTAAAAGACACTTCAAAAGGAGAAACAAAGGAAACAAAAGCTAAGTGTAAAAGACTCAGGGAATATAATCCCTCCAAGTAGCGTCTTTGCCATTTTTTGTTGTAAAATAAAAACAGAAGTGCTAACACTCAACCGAGTGTTTTACCCAACTTCAACACGCTTTTTTTGCCGCTGCAGCATGCGCCCGCACCCGACGCCTCCCCACCCCTCCCTCACACTCTCTCCCCGACGCTCCTCCCTCTCTATCTCTCTCCCCGGCGCCAGCAAGCTCCTCCCGGCGACCTCCTCCCGGTGACCCCCACCCACGCTCCGCACGACATCCTCCAGGCAAGCACCACCCGCGCGCGAGCTCGCTGGCCATGGCGGGTCCGCCGAGGTAGGCCTTCTCCTCCTTCTCCTTCTCTAGATCTGCCTGTTAGGGTCCCGACGAGCTCTCCCCTCTTTCTTCTCCAACTCCGACGGTATAGAAGGGGCCGGCCAGGAGGAGGCAGACAGGCCAAACGCTGGGGATGGTGGCCAGGCGGTTTAGGGGAGCTAGCAGTGGTAGGGGCGGTCGGGCCAGGTCGGGGTGGGGGAGGCTCGCTGGAGTTGAAGAAGATGGCGGCAAGCAGCTTGCCGGAGCTGAAGAAGATGGCGGTAGGCGAGGAGAGGAGAGGAGGGAAAGAGGGCGGCCGCCACAGCCGGGTGTGCCAACACCGGTCGTTTGATAGACAAATCCACCGCACACACACATGCAACACGTCCCGTCGTCACCACCCTTTTATCTGACCTGCGAGAGGCCGTTTTCCTATTAACTTTTATTACATCCCAAATCCCAAAGTACACTAATGCAAATAAATAAATGCTGCAAATAAATAAATAAATGCTACAAAATCTGAATTGATATCCAAACCGGGGCAAAATTCAGCCAAATTCATTCAAACCTGGACAAAAATGCCAGGCAGAATCACAGGCTCTCGTGAAATTCCCATCGCCCCTTGCTTCCTCCTGCTCCTCGCCCAATCGCCGAGACGCCGACTACCTCGCGCTCCCGCACGCCGCCGTGTAGATCTGGACATCTGGTAGAATAGGTGCCGGTGGCCTCGGACGCGCAGTGGTAGAGGCTTTTGCGGTGGCGGCGACGGAGGAGGAGACGGGGTAGCGAGCAGTGGCCACGGGCGCGGGGTCTGTGTGCTGGGGCTCGGGTTCCAGGAAACCCTAGCCGCAGCGCGATGGCGTCGTACAGGCCATACGCGCCGCCGCAGCAGCATCCGCCGCCGCCGCCACCACAGGGCGGCTACCCGCCGCAGATGAATCCGTACGCGCCGCCGCCGCAGCAGGCGCCGTACAACAGGATGCCGGCGCCGCCTTACCACGCGGGGCCCCCGCCACCGCCGCCACCCGGGCCGCCACCACCTCACCAACCGCAGTTCAATTTCGGCCCCCGGCCTCCGCAGCAGCCCCCGCCCCCGCCGCAGATGTACTACCAGCCGCCGCCACCGCCCTACGGCGGGACCAGCAACCCGCCTCCTCCTCCCCCTTCGGCGCCACCCCCGCCTCCGTCCCCACCCCCTGCGGCCCCGCCCCCGCCCCCTCCGCCTCCGGCCCAGCCACCGTCTGCCCAGGCCCCGCCGCCCCCAAAGCAGCAGCAGCAGCCTAAGGCAACGCTGCCGAGAGCGGAGACGGAGGAGGAGCGTCACGCACGGAAGAAGCGCGAGTTCGAGAAGCAGCGGGTGGAGGACCGCAAGCAGCAGCAGATGATGCGCCAGACACAGGCCGCCATTCTGCAGAAGACGCAGCAGCGCGCTGCTCAGCAGCAGCCGCAGAGCCGCCACCACCACCACCAGCCTCCAGGTGGCTCTCGGTAGCGGCAACTGGCTCTCGGGCAGTGGCAACTGGGTCTCGCCCGACATCAGTGCCTAATGCTGAGAGGTTTGAGAACCGGCTAAAAAAGCCAACAACGTTCCTCTGCAAGCACAAGTAAGTCCAGCCAAGTTTTGGCCCTTTCGGTTGCGTTCGCACCAAAATTTAAATTCCCAGCTTGTGGTTGGGTAACATTTTGATTGATCATACACGTCTTAGGGGTGTAAAACTTGGCAACATATGCTATCCTTAGTTAGAGAGTGACATAGGCTGCTTACTAGAATTTTTTACGTTGTTGTTGAAATGTAAGGGCACCCTATGGAAAGGATCATTGTTTTCTGAATTTGCTTTATAGCTTCTTTAAATTTTGTGCTTCTCTATGTGCTTAGAAAGATTAGTACTTCCGCTTAGTTCTGGAAAACTATTGAGAATATAGTGCTTAATAAAAGGTGCATGAGGTGGTCTACCAACCAATTTCTTTGTTATGAACCTACAAAGGGACTCCTTTCTTGTAACAGGGCAGACACATCAAAACTTAGTAACGGTTTGGAAAACGTTACTCTGCTATTATGAAATGGCAATTTTCTGTTGCCTGTATATTTAAAATAAGTTTCTGGATGTGTACCGTTTTTATGGAGCCTTAATCAGCTACTGATTTGTACCAAGTATTTAGATCTTGGTGATCTATGTCTATTTTTGTAATTATACACTTGAATGATCCTGTTTTGCCTTTTCTTTTTGGTTGACACAGATTTAGGAATGAACTCCCGGATCCAAGTGCTCAGCTGAAATGGCTGCCCCTGAATAAGTATAAGGACCGGTATGCATCACTAGCTGTCTACTCCCCACCCCCTTTGTTTTTTATTTAAGATGGCATCTTTGGAGTAGCACAAGCCATACTTCAGTATTGCTCATCTACTAAGAATGGTCATTTTACTTGTAGATCATTTGAACTTACTTATGCTTTTTTTTTATTTGAAGATCTTTTCTACGATGACAGGAATCCATTGTTTTTGCTTTCTGCTGGCTTCCAATTTATGCCTTGCTTTTTGCTGTTGTATAGATATTTTTTTTTGGTAATTTTATACATTATATGTTATGGGTAAAGAACACATTTTGATTGTTGCATTGATGCCTAATCTAATTTTCTGTGGGGTTTCACTGGGCTAACATGGGTAAGGTTATTTCAGTGTACTGTTAGGACTGATCATTTCACCTTTAACCAAAATTTCAAGTCAGGCCTGTTTGGCTGCAGCGCTGCAAACTAGTGCAGCTGAACAGGCCCATGGTTTCATTATTCCTGCTACTTATGCATAGATTTGATATCATTAGCTTGCTTTGGAGGAGATTAAATAGATTGATATTTTGTAGCTTACATAAAGTCATAAAGTCATAAATATATCATAACTGGGTGTCCTGTTCAACTGCCATAATTCCATTCGTTTTGCACTAAAGCAATTCTGTGACTACTCTGCTTTGATACTGTAGAGTTTTCCATCGTCTTCTGCTCTCCTTTTTCTGCTACCTACAGTATGCTGAACTTAATGTGCCTTGACTCATTATGTTGCTCTCAATTGTGTTTGGCTCTGGCATTTTAAAACCTTCTATATCTTGGAGGCAGCTATGCTTACTATGTTTTGCTGTCCTTTCAGATATACCAAATACAGGATAACTTCATTGGAGAAAAACTACATTCCTAAAATGATTGTCCCTGAGGATCTTGGGATACCTCTTGACCTACTTGAC